ACAAATCCTGAAATCATGCAGTAAATAAAGTCTTGTGCAGGTTCGATAGATGTAAAAATAAAGTAAACAATCGCTCAAAGTCATGATGGCATCATGCTGAAAGCAGACTACTCTTTGGCTTTAGCGGACAAACGTAAATTATATATATATACATTAAAAAAAAGTATCACAACTTCAGCAGTGCTCGGTTCAAACTCTGCTTGTTGGACATCTGTCTCACCTCCGGGCATGACGGAGCCGACGTCCTGCAGCGTGAGCACCGACAGCTTCTCCTCCGAGTCGACCCGGATCACGCCGTGACTCAGACCCTGCATGGACAGGATGCCGCGACCAGGAGGGGTGGTGCCCTCCTCCAGCGGCCTGCAGGAGGGAGAACACAACTGTAGTGGCAATTCCTTTGTTTGACAAATCAAACATCCCACAATCAGAAGTCCACAAGCCACTGCTGCACTGAGATATTATTTTGTACGCAGGCAAAAGAAGTCCATTGTCCAAACTTGAAAGTTGCGTTTTGATGGTTTATTTATCCAGTTTGGCAACAACAAGATCCATTTTTTTTTGTTACCTCCTGCTGCTTCTCCTGCTTTGGTAAAAAACCATAGGCCCACCCCAGTGCATGCTGGTCCTATACCAGTCGCTTTATTTATAGAAAACAAAATGGCCCTACAGCTCTTCCTGACTAATTTAACAAAGTAACATCAAACAAACTTTGAAACAAAATATTAACCGACAAATAACTTGTAAATAAACCCCAAAATATAAGTAAACTAACAGCAAACTTTAACTAATTTCAAAATAATAAAAAATAAGAACAAATAGCTCCAACAACAACATTTGTCAGAAATAAGTGTGTTTAAGAAGTAAGTAGCTACAAATTTGTTTTAGAGTCCAGACACGTCTTGGAGAAGTAAAGACAGTTCAGGGAAATATCCTGAAAATCAAAATATTACAAAAACAAATGATATATTTATGACACAAGAGCATCGATGGAAACATTTCTCAAGTCAGGAGACTGTTTAAATTATGGAGGCAGTAAAAATTATTTTGGAAAACAGACATTTTCAAAAACGGTTACATTTGGGGCCATTTTTGAAAGACGGGACCTCTTTGGAGGCTGAAGACATTTTCATAATTCAAGCACATTAATGGAAGGAGTAAGAAGTCTTAGGAAGTGCGAATTAAAAGTTTAACAAAGTCAAAATACTTCAGCGATGTCAGGACAGCGACACGTCTTTTTAGAAAAGAGGAAGCAACTTCAGTGTTTTTGGAAAGTTCGGGTGTTTTCAGAAAGTGTGGACAGTTTAGGGAGGAGAGCACTTACTCTGTCCCCAGTCATTACCAGGACATTTTAAGGGTAATTAAGTTTAGGCTGAAGCGAGGATTAGAGGCTAAGAACTGCTGTGTGTCAGTGACAGTCCTCACAAATACCATATAAACATGTGTGTGAGTGAAGTTTAAAGGTTTTTCTCTAAACACAGAGCTCATAATCCCCCACACCCAGCGAGGAAAAGCTCTTTATTAGCACACACAAGCAGAGATGCAAACACTCAGCCTCAAAGTGTTTTAATCAATAAAAACATGTGACTGGCAGCTGCTCTGACTGTAAATGTGGCGTTCAGATGTTAAACTACAGACTGGATGATTAAAGAGGTGGAAGTGTAAGTTTAGTGTTTTAAAACCTATGAAACTGTAAATTTAAGCTCATAAAATAGTAAAAAACAGCGGAAGGAGGTTAAAGCCATTATAAAGTAGAAATAACTCACTAAAAGTTTGTCTTTAAATGCTAGAAAGCAAATAAATTTGTACTAATTATATCTGTGTGTTTGTGTACCTGCGTATAGCCACAGTCAGCGCCTCGGGGGAGCTGGCACACGGGCAGATGACCTCCGGCTTCAAACCTTTCGTCTGGAAGACGTTGAGGAAGGCGTCACAAGACGAGATCGACCCTGAGAGACAATCAAACGCTTAAAGGCTTTTTACGAAAGCAGAGGCGGCTCTTTGCTAGTTTTAATGATTACTGCTTCATTTCCAAGCTTTTAGAAACTAACCAATAAAATAAACCAGTCACAGCTCCAAATGTAATCTTTTACGCATCTCTTGTTAACTTTTTTGAAAAGGATCTAAATAAAGAAATGGTTTTCAGGTAACTTGGATACACTGAACACTTAAACAGGACCCTGCAGGTGTGAGGACACGAACAATCCAGCAGCGATGTTTTAGGACAAACGCCTCTTCAGCTCGTCAGTCATTTGATCTGAACCCACTAAACACATCTGGAATAAGAGCACTCAGAGAACACAGGGTAAGGCCGACACTAACTTTGATGTTTTATGATGTTTTTGATGCCCTTTTGTTTGATATGGCTTCTAGATATTTCTTCTGAAGGTCAACTTTGACCTTTGACACTAACAGTGAAGCTAACAACTCCTAAAAAACCAATCTTAAATCACTAAACATTATCAGTGTACAAA